TTTTTTTTAAAGACAGCATCCCATTCTGTCGCCCTGGCCAGAATGCAGTGATGCAATGATAGCTCACTGCAGCCTTGAACTCCTGGGCTCAAGTGATCCTTGATCCTTGATCAAGTGGGTGGGGTGGCTCATGCTTGTAATCTTAGTACTTTGGGAAGCCAAGTCAAGAAGATCCCTTGAGCCCAGGAGTTCAAGACCAGCCTGGACAACTTAGGGAGACCCAATCTCTACAAAAAATTAAAAAATTAGCCAGGTACAATGGTGCACGCCGATAGTCCCAGCTACTCAAGAGGGGAGGTGGGAGGATCGCTTGAGCCTGGGAGGTCGAGGCTGCAGTGAGGTGTGACACTTCAGCCTGGGTGACAGAGTGAGACCTCATTTCTAAAAAAAAAAAAAAAAAAAAACCACACACACACATATACAACCAAAACATATATTTTGTAGAGACAGGGACTTGCCATATTGCCCAAGCTGGTCTCAAACTCCTGGCCTCAAGTGATCCTCCCACCTTGACTTTCTAAAGTGCTGGGATTACAGGCATGAGCCACCATGCCTGGCTTATATCTCTATTCTTTTCTCTTTCTGTTCAAATGAATAAACACGGCCATCCAGCAGGTTGCTCAGGTCAGAAACCTAGGAGTCATCCTAGATTCTTTCCTCTCTTCATCACCCATATTCAATTCCACTTAAAATCCCATGAGTGCTATTTCCTCAAATCAGTTTTTAAAAAATTTGAGTAATGTATAGCTACTAAATATTTCTCTGCCATCACAATGTTAAATTATTTATTTATTTATTTTACTTCTGAGACAGGTTCTCACTCGTTGCCCAGGCTAGAGTGCAGGGGCATGATCACAGCCAACTGCAGGCTTGATCTCTTGGGTTCAAGTGATCCTTCTGCCTCAGCCTCCCAAGTACTGGCTAATTATTTATTTTTTTGTAGAGATGGTGTCTCACTATATTACCCAGGTTGTTCTTGAACTCCTGAGGTCAAGCCGTGCTCCCGCCTTGGCTTTTCAAAATACTTGGATTACAAGATTAAGCCAACATGCCTGGCAAAAGTTTTTATTAAATGCGTATATGCAAACACAAAGCTAGATGTAAACTTCATAAGGTTTATAGCTATTATACTATTATAAAACCAAACATTAAAAATATCAACAAATGGCTGGACGTGGTGGCTCATGCCTGTAATCCCAGCACTTTGGGAGGCCAAGGTGGCCAGATCACTTGAGGTCAGAAGTTCAAGAACAGCCTGACCAACATGATGAAATCCCGTCTCTACTAAAAATACAAAAATTAGCCAGGCGTGGTGGTGCATGCCTGTAATCCCAGCTACTCGAGAGGCTGAGTGAGGCGGTAGAATCGCCTGAACCCAGGAGGCAGAGGTTGTAGTGAGCTGAGATCACACCACTGCACTTTAGCTTGGGCAACACAGCGAGACTCCGTCTCAAAAAAATAAAAAATAAAAAGCAATATAATTCAATTTTAAAACATTAAACAATATGCTACATTTTGTTTGAAACCACAATTGATTTGATTGTTTTAATTTTGAATATGTTGGAACATTATTTGGGTGACTATCATGCTCACTTTTTCCTTTTTGTTTTTGACACACGTTCTCACTCTGTAGCCCAGGGTGGAATGCTTGATTATAGCTCACTGAAGTCAAACTCCTGGGCTCAAGCAGTCCTCTTGCCTCAGCCTCCTGAGAAGCTAGGTCTACAGGCGTGTGCCACCACTCCTGGCTAATTTTTTAATTTTTAATTTTTTTTTTTGTAGAAGTGGAGTCTTGCTATGTTGCCCAGGCTGGTCTTCCACTCCTCAGCTCAAGTAGTTCTGCTTTGGCCTCAAGTGTGCTGGGATTACAGGCATGAGCCACCATGCCCAACCTCTATACCATTTTAACAGGGGAAGGGTGGGGTGGGGGAAAGGACATTTACTGGAAAATAGACTTATAGGAAGGATAAATGGACTCTTAGAATAGATATGATAGCTTTGTGATGATGTCTGTTTAGGTGTGGTATGGATATTTCTCATCTCAGGTCATGAGTCAGATTGATATCTTTCCTGGTTTGCCCCTGGGAAGTAGATTATGACAATTGAGTTCTTTTGGAAGTCTCTTAGGCAGATAAGAGATTTTAGAAACTCAAATGCTGTCTGCTTAAAATGATTTTTTATGCCATAGTAGTGTATTCTGGACCCCTTCACAATCACTGACCCATTATTATTTTTATTTTTATATTTATTTATTTATTTATTTATTTATTTAGAGACAGAGTCTCGCTCTGTTGCCCCTGCTGGAGTGCAGTGGTGCGATCTCCGCTCACTGCAAGCTCCGCCTCCTGGGTTCACACCATTCTCCTGCCTCAGCCTCCCGAGTAGCTGGGACTACATGTGCCTGCCACCACGCCCAGCTAATTTTTTGTATTTTTAGTAGAGACGGAGTTTCACCGTGTTAGCCAGGATGATCTCAATCTCCTGATCTTGTGATCCGCCTGCCTCGGCCTCCCAAGGTGCTGGGATTACAGACGTGAGCCACTGTGCCTGGCCTCACTGACCCATTGTTTTGATGGGCTACTTAGTAATGACTTCAGAATTTAAAAAAATTTTCCATTTAGTGAACGTGTCATTATATATTTATTACTACACTTTTTGTGAACTGCTTGTAATTGATCCATATATGATTTTCACATAGTGGGGAGGGAGGTCAGAAAAAAATATTTCATGTAATAGTTACTCACAGTATGTCTATGATAGTGACTACCACAAAACAAGTTCTTTTGTATCTGTCTTCCTGCCATTTGGCCTTATGACCTCATACTCTTTTTTTTTTTTTTTTTTTTTTTGAGACAGGAGACAGGGTCTCACTTTGTCACAGAGGCTGGAGTGCAGTGGTGTGAACACAGCTCCCTGCAGCCTTAACCTCCTGCACTCAGTGATCCTCCTGCTTCAGCCCCAAGTAGCTGGGGCTTACAGGCATGTGCCACTGTGCCCTACTAATTCTTACATTTTTTATAAGGTCTTACTATTATGTCCAAGCTGGTCTTGAACTCCTGAGCTCAAGCTATCTGCCCACCTTCGCCTCCCAAAGTGTTGGGATTATAGGTGTGAGCCACCATGCCTGGCATCTTTTCATCTTTATTGACCTGTCAAATTTTTGCTTATTTTGTACATTTTGGTGGTATTTGGCTTTCACTTGGCTATACCTGGCTTGAAGGCACCTCTTTAGCATATTAGCTTGTGATAAGATTGTAAATACAACCTGTTTGCTCATGCCTGTAATCCTAGCACTTACAGAGGCTGAGGCAGGAGGATTACTTGACCTCAGCAATTTGAGACCAGTCTGGGCAACATAGTGAGTCTCTGTCTCTACCAAAAAAAAAAAGTTTAGTAGGCGTAGTGGCGCATGCCTGTAGTCCCAGCTTCTCAGGAGGCTTGGATGAGAGGATCGCTTGAGCCCAGGAGGTCAGAGCTACAGTGAGCCACGATTGTGCCACTGTACTCCAGCTTGGACAACAGAGTGAGGTGCTGTCTCAATCAATCAATCAATAAGTAAGTAAATAAATAAAATTGTAATACAAATATGAAACTAGGCCAGGACATCTTGTGGCAACATCGGGCTGTGAGATGGCCTATTTTTATCCAAGCGACCCAACATATGCTTATACATTAATTTTTTACAAATGTTTTCATTTATTCAGATATCTCTGTATTCACTCTGTTACTTGCTACTGTTTAGTCCATCTTTTTTTTTTTTTTATCATCCAGGCTGGAGTGCAGTGTAATCCCAAAGTGCTGGGATTACAGATGTGAGCCACTGCGCTGGCCTTCATTGTGGTTTTCATTTGCATTTCTGTTATGACTGATGATGTTTGTATTTCTCTAATGACTGATGATGTTGAATGTTTTGGCATGTGCTTATTAGCTATCTTCTTTGGAGGTATATTTGAATGTCTATTTAAGTCCTTTGCTTATTTTTTAATTGGGTTATGTGTTTTTATTGCTGACCGTAAGAATATATGTTTTACTTTATTTTTTAAAGTCTTGCTATATTCGTTGGTAAGACTAATTTGTCCTCCTTTTATTGGAAGGTCCTGTCCAAAATGCATTGCTGTCTTCACAAGAGTCAGTGAGCCAAGGATACAATTTCCAGCTTCCAGGATCCTACTCTCATCCAATACCAGCAAAGACTTTGAATCCAGTCTCTGGACAGTCTAACTATGGTGGTTCTCAGGGATCTGGGCAGACTCTTAATAGACCACCTGTGGCCTCTAATCCAGTGACACCTTTGCTTCATAGTGGTCCTGCTCCCCGAATGCCATTACCTACTTCTCAGAACTCATGTACTACACCAATGCCTTCTAGTAGCTTTCTTCCTGGAGCCAACCTGCCACCACCTTTGAATTGGCAATATAACTATCCATCCACAGCCACACAAACAAACCATTGTCCTCCTGCATCATCCCAACCAACTGTATCTGGAAATACAAGCTTAACCACAAATCATCAATATGTTTCTTCTGGATATCCTTCACTTCAAAATAGCTTCGTAAAGTCAGGTAGTATTCTTATAGAAGTGCTTAAAATGTAGAAATGTGAAACTTCTGCTTATTTAGATATTTGAAATAATACTTGAAGCCTGAAAACCATATGGAAAATAGGACTTTTAAAATTATTAGTAGTTTTTTGTTGCTGTTTTTTGTTTTTCGGCTTTCCAGCGAAAACCAGAAAGCCTGCTAGACAAATTAAGTAAGCTGTAACACTCATTAGTAGTTTTTTTTTTCTGTTTTTTTTTTTTTTTTGAGATGGATCTTGCTCTGTCACCCAGGCTGGAATGCAGTGGCACAATCTCAGCTTACTGCAACCTCTGCCTCCGGGGTTCAAGTGATTCTCCTGCCTCAGCCTCCCCTGGGACCACAGGCGTGACCAGCATGCTCGGCTGATTTTTGGAATTTTAGTAGAGTTGGGTTTTGTGGTTTGTTTGTTGTTTTTTTTTTTTTTTGAGACAGAGTTTTGCTCTTTTCGCCCAGGCTGGAGTGCAATAGTGCAATCTTGACTCACTGCAACATCCATCTCCTGGTTCAAACGATTCTCCTGCCTCAGCCTCCCAAGTAGCTGGGATTACAGGCACTCGCCACCACACCCAGCTAATTTTGTATTTGATTTAGTAGAGACAGGGTTTTACCACGTTGGCCAGGCTGGTCTCCAACTCTTGACCTCAGGTAATCCGCTGGCCTCTGCCTCCCAAAGTGCTGGGATTACGGGCGTGAGCCATTGCATCTGGCTGATAGCTGGGTTTTCATAGAGATTGTGTTGAATCTGTACATCAGCTTGAGGACAAAGCTACATATTATGTATTCTTAGACTGACTTTGATCTTTTTATCTTTTAACCTCAGTGTTTGGTTGGACTTTTCCTTTTTTGCTATTAAAATCAGCAAGGTGTTATACTTTTTTTTTTTTTTAACACTTTTTTTTTTTTACACAGTCTTACTGTGTAGCCCATGCTGGAGTGCAATGGTGTGATCTCAGCTCACTGCAACGGCGTGATCTCGGCTCACTGCAACCTCTGCCTACCGGGTTCAAGCGATTCTCCTGCCTCAGCCTCCAGAGTAGCTGGGATTATGGGATTACAGTCATGTGCCACTGCACCTAGCTAATTTTTTGTACTTTAGTAGAGATGTGGTTTCACCATGTTGGCCAGGCTGGTCTTGAACTCCTGACCTCAGGTAATCCACCTACCTCAGCCTCCCAAAGTGCTAGAATTACAGGTGTGAGCCACCACGCCTGGCCACATTTATTTATTTATTTATTTATTTATTTATTTATTTAAAGACAGAGTCTCACTCTGTCTCCCAAGCTGGAGTGCAGTGGTGCAATCTTGGCTCACTGCAACCTGTGCCTTCCGGGTTCATGCCATTCTCCTGCCTCCGCCTTCCGAGTAGCTGGGACTACAGGCGCCCGCCAACACGCCTGGGTAATTTTTTGTATTTTTGGTAGAGACGGGGTCTCACCGTGTTAGCCAGGATGGTCTCGATTTGCTGACCTCATGATCTACCCGCCTCACCTCCCAAAGTGCTGGGATTACAGGCGTGAGCCACTGCACCCGACCCCAGCCACATTTATTAACATTAGTAGTATTTCTTTCAAAAGCATTTAAAATTATGTATTGGGATCTTCAGGTTGATGCTTCTCAGCAGACATCCTCAAGTTTATGAACTAGTGAAGGCTTCCAAGTGAAATACTAATATCAATAGTTACCTTTTTAAATTCATGTGTGTTTATTTGGCATATACTCCATCAGGCTTAGTAAATTGTTAATGGGTGAAACTTTATTTTTCCAAGCCTTTGATCAGACATTGGCCCTGGTGAATGCATTTTGGCCTTGTAAAGATTAAAGTTGCTTCTAGAAACTTAAGTTTCTTTGTGGAAATCTTCTGACCTGCAGTTACTAGAGCCAAAATCCTTCATGTTACTTTTGTTCTAATTCATTTGATACCATGAGTGAGCATCAGTCACTTGAAATGAATGAGTCTCAGCTACTTGGGGGACTGAGGTGGGAGAATTGCTTGATCTCAGGCATTTGAGGCTGCAGTGAGCTATGATTATGCCACTGCACTCCAGCCTAGGTGACAGAGTAAGACTCTGTCTAAAAAAAAATTAAGTGTTAAAAAAATGTTATCCGTATTATTTTCCAGGCTCTATCAAACTTTTATATCATTGTCTGTTTTTCTGTTTTGCTTTTTATTTTTTAGAGATAGGCTGTCTCTCTGTTTCCCAGGCTGGAGTGCATTGGCGCAATCCCAGCTCACTGTTGTCATCAAACTCCTGGACTCAAGCTATCCTCCCACCTCACCTCCCTGAGTAGGCATGTCACAGTGCCTGGCTAATCTTTTGTTCTTTATTTTTTTGTACAGACAGGGTCTTACCCGGTCGCCCAGGGTAGAGTAGGGTGGCACGATCATAGTTCACTTAACTGCAACATAGCTCACTGTAACTGTTGACTTCAAGCGATCCTGCTGCCTGGAATTCCTAAAGTTCTGGGATAACAGGTGTGAGCCACCTAGCCAGGCATGCATTATCTTGTTTAATCTTTATAACAATCTCTTAGAGATCTAAAGTATAAGACTTGAGTAATTTGCCCAAAGCCACAAAAAGTAGTTTGGGAAAACATGTATTTAAAAACTAAGGGCCAGGCATGGTAGCTCACACCTATAATTCTAGCACTTTGGGAGGCCGAGGCAGGAGGATCCACTTGAGGCCAGGAGTTCAAGACAAGGCTGAGCAAAATAGTGAGACCCCATCTCTACTTTTTGTAAATAATTTTATTTAAAAATAAATAAAAACTATTTAAGAGTAGGTATAGCTTCTCTTAAAAAGGTACATTATCAATAATCTGAAATTTCTTTAGCTATAATTGAAACCCTCAGAGTACCTTGTCTCCACTACAGATTTGGTGAGAGAAACATAAATAAGTGCTGAGGCTGGGCGTGGTGGCTCACGCCTGTAATCCCAGCACTTTGGGAGGCTGAGGCGGGTGGATCACTAGAGGGCAGGAGTTCAAGACCAGCCTGGCCAACATGGTGAAAACCCCATGTCTACTAAAAATACAAAAATTAGTCAAGCGTAGTGGCACGTGCCTGTAATCCCAGCTACTCAGGAGACTGAGGCAGAAGAATTGCTTGAACCCAGGAGGTGGAGATTGCGGTGAGCTGAGATTGCACCACCGCACTCCAGTCCGGGCGACAGAGCGAGACTACATCTCAAAAAAAAAAAAAAAGTGCTGAAACTTATGAAAGAAGGGGAAATAAAAACGTATAAACTAATAAAATGAGCCCAAAAAATAACCTTTTTTCTCATTTGAACCTTCAAAGAACCTTCAAATTGCTCATTTTTTTTTGTTTTTCCAACTCATAACTGATGGTTGGTACCTGATAGTCTGGTATCAAAACTGTGAGTATCTAGGTTATACTAAGTTTTTGGTTCATATATTAAATTTTCCTGAATTTTTTTGATAGGCCACCTTTAAACATCATTACACTCATTTAGGGGCTGAGATGGCAGACTCTGAAACTCTAGCTATCGGTGTCATAAAAATTATTCAACTTAAAAAAATGTTCATTTTATGAAATATATGATTATCTGTTCAAAAACAGTCTTCTAAAAGCTGTGAAAATCTCTGTACGTTTACTTTTATTCTGTTAAACATTAGGTTGTCAGTTGTTACATCTTTGTGGCCAGATGTATCTCACATTCTTGTTCATGCTGAGTTGGCAATGTACCTTGCCCCTTTGTTCCTTTGACTTGTCTATACTGCCATAGATATGTGTGACCACTTCTTTGATAAGGGAGTTACATGGCAATAATCTTTGTCTTCAGTTTTGTCAACAGGCACTGATAGTCTTGTTAGCAGTTGTAAGGTTCAGTGATAGGCAATTTTTCTTTTTTTTTTTGAGATGGAGCCTTGCTCTGCGCCCAGCCTAATAGGCAATTTTTCAACTTGATACTGGAGAATTTAACAGTATTGGTGAAACATTTTGAAAAATTTCAGGCCGAGCGAGGTGGCTCACATCTGTAATCCCAGCACTTTGGGAGGCCGAGGTGGGTGGATTACAACGTCAGGAGTTTGAGATCAGCCTCCAGCCTGGCCAATATGGTGAAACCCCGTCTCTACTAAAAATACAAAAATTAGCCAGGTGTGGTGGCACGCACCTGTGGACCCAGCTGCTCCCGGAGACTGAGGCAGGAGAATCGCTTGAACCTGGGAGGTGGAGGTTGCAGTGAGCCGAGATCGCGCCATTATACTCCAGCCTGGGGAACAAGAACAAGACTTCGTCTCAGAATAAAAAAAAAAAAAAGTGTTCCTTCTGCCTCGGTCTCCTAAAGTCCTGGGATTATAGACATGAACCACTGTGCCTGGCCCCATATTTTTATTTATTTTGAGACAGTTTCGCTCTTGCTGCCTAGACTGGAGTGCAGTGACGAGATCTCAGCTCACTGCAACGTCCGCCTCCCAGGTTCAAGTGATTCTCATGCCTCAGCTTTCCAAGTAGCTGGGATTACAGGTGCCCACCACCACGCCTGGCTAATTTTTTGTATTTTTAGTAGAGATGGGGTTTGACCATGTTGGCCAGACTTGTCTTGAACTCTTGACCACAGGTGATCCACTGTGCCTGGCCCGGCCTTCTATTTTTAGTCTCACTCTAAACTTAGTTGACGTTAATGGAACAAACTATGTTGGTAAACAAAATTAACAAAATATTACAAAATTAATAACATTAAAATTTTATTCATGTTAATTTGTACTAGAATATGTCACATGGCCTATTGAACCTAATGAGCAGTTAATGAAAAATTAATAAACAGGGCTGGCCACGTACAGTGACTCACCACGCCTGTAATTCCAGCATTTTGGGAGGCCAAGACAGGAGGATCACTGGAACCCCGGAATTCAACATCTGCCTGGGCAACAAAATGAGACCCCCATCTCTATTATATTAAAATTTAAAGTAATAATAATAAAAACAAACAGGGCAATGTATCTACTCTAGAAGTGATTTAATCCAAATTTTATATTTACTCTGCTTTAATAATTGACAGGTAAGAGGCCTGGTAGGGGAGAGTTAGAAATTTGTAAAATATGGGGCGGGCACAGTGGCTCACGCCTGTAATCTCAGCACTTTGGGAGGCCAAGGTGGGCAAATCACCTGATGTCAGGAGTTCGAGATGAGCCTGGCCAACATGGTGAAACGCTGCCTCTACTAAAAATACAAAAAATTCGCTGGGCATGGTTTCGCATGCCTATAGTCCCAGCTACTTAGGAGGCTGAGGCAGGGGAATCTCTTGAACCCGGGAGGTAGAGGTTGCAGTGAACTGAGATAACGCTATTGTACTCCAGCCTGGGTGACAAAAAAAAAAAAGAAAGAAAAGAAATTTGTAAAATATGCATGTAGATTGAAAAATATTATAAATTTAGGAAGTTGACATGTTTCTGGTAACTCTTTGGTGATTATAATTTAAATGTAAGTTTAGAAGTTACTCAGCTTTGGTAAAAGGCTGGTTTTGGCCATAGTCTTGAGTTTTTAAGTAACGTGTGAAAAACTGATGTTTCCGTAGGTTCTTCTGTACCTCCCTTAGTGAATCCACCTCTGCCTACAACTTTTCAACCAGGAGCTCCTCATGGGCCCCCTCCAGCTGGAGGCCCACCCCCAATAAGGGCCCTCATGCCCCAGACATCATCATATAGAGATGTACCCCAGCCCTTATTTAATTCGGCTGTCAACCAAGAAGGTAAGTGAACCAAGAAGCAAAGTCAAGTCCTCGAGTTTTGACTTAGGGTAGAAAGATGAATATTAGCTGAATTCTGTGCATTAAAATCACATTTTTTCCAGAAAATCTAGTTTTGGTTAGGGATGGGCTACAGGAATTTACAATTTAAAGTTCCTCAGGAATTCCATTGCCATCCGCTAGACTGTGACTACCATTGGGAAAAAAGCTTTTAGCGTTTTGTTACTTTTTTTGTTGCTATGCAGATTTTAAAAAAATCATGGCTATAAAGTCAGGTGGCTTTTGGAGGTGCATGCAAGAGAAGAATTACTACTTTTCTTGACATGACATTAGAATGTTAGAAATATCCTTTTAAAATATTGACCCTTGTCATTCAAGATGTATTTTGAGTGCCACTATTATTGTAAATGTTAACACATACTTATGAAACTAAATAAAAGTCATTTATACAAGCAGTGGAAAAAATACAAGCTTTTGAAGTTTGATTTTCCCCTCCCTGGAATCAATGTCAGCTACATGTAGTTTTATATAAGTAAAATATTTTAAAGCATCATCTTGGGATGTAATGGAAATACAAGTGTTCATTTAAATAAGATATTTTGTAAAGTAAGAAATTTGATTTTAGGCTGGTCGCAGTGGCTCACCTCTGTAATCCTAGCGCTTTGGGAGGCCAAGGCGGGTGGATCACTTGAGGTCAGGAGTTTGAGACCAGCCTGGCCAACATGGTGAAACCCTGTCTCTACTAAAAATACAAACATTAGCCAGGCGTGCTGGCATGTGCCTGTAATCCCAGCTACTTGGGCGGCTGAGGCAGGAGAATTACTTTTCATTTTAGCAGTAATATAATCATTGCAGCAAGATGTAGAAATAGGGAAGCAGATGAGGGGGTAAAAACATTGCCCATATTCTACTACTGAATACAATCAATATTATCATTTTTGTGTTTTCTTCTAGCATTACATTAAGTATTATAAGTAGGGAAAAGAATAATGCTAGCATTGAGTAACAAGGCCAGGCGTGGTGGCTCATGTCTTCAATCCCAACACTTTGGGAGGCCGAGGTGGGCACATCACCTTAGGTCAGGAGTTTGAGACCAGCCTGGCCAAGGTGGTGAAACCCCATCTCTACTAAATATACAAAAATAAGGTCAGGTGCGGTGGCTCACGCCTGTAATTCCAGCACTTTGGGAGGCCAAGGTGGGCGGATCACCTGAGGTCAGGAGTTCCAGACCAGCCTGGCCAACATGGCAAAACCCTGTCTGTACTAAAAATAAAAAAATTAGCTGGGCATAGTGGCAGGCGCCTGTAATCC